GGTCACAGCATAGTGTCGTCATTGATGCTACGAACCCTCTGCAGCCTACCTTGACTGCCTGGACCTTCGCTTCCCAACCACGGAGTCACGCATTGCTTGTAGTCTTAGAGTACCTCAGCTTCTTGCGCTTGTAGGTCTCCTCCAATGCATCTTCCCAGGCATTGTCAGCTCAATTATGTTTAATGGAGCGGTGCAAGTCTGACTACAGCACAAAGTCAGATTTGAGGTTGGTTAGAAAAGCATAGCATCTGGCCTACGTCTACCACCATCTTCCCATCATGTGCACTGCCTAGCCGCCCGATGTCTGGTCTGATGACTTGAGACAGGTAAAAGCCTCACCTTTTCGAACAAACACTGTTGCCAGCTGGTGGGAGGGAGAGGAACGACAGCTGCAAGAAGCCATAGCACCGGGTTGGGCCAACAGTTGATTCAGCCTTGCATGAGCCTAGTCTTGTAACCCACTAGTATGGGTTTAAGGGTTGTTAGAGGCAGGCAGAGGGAGCTAGTGGGGTCTTCTCCGTACCACTGGCCGAGATTTAAAGTACTAGCCCAGTACTACTGCATTTGTATGAAGACATTTGTGCCTCGAATGATGTCCCTTGAGTCAGTGGGGGCTGAAGAATTCACAATAGTTAACAAAAAAAGCCTTTGAGTTTGTAGGTAGAAAGTGAGCTTACCTACTCAAGAATGAAACACACCTCAATCTATCCACTGGAGTCAACAGATTTACACAAAAGAAGTGGCAATGAAAAAGTTGTTCTGCTGCGTTGATTTGATTATTTCACTGTCCATTGTGAGTTTGACAATGGTATACAACCTAAATGAACTGGAGAAGTGCTCTTTAACCGTATTTGTCTCTAATGCCTGGTCTACACTGGCTGAATTGTGAAACCAGCACATCAGCAACTGGATATATTAAGTAACGAACAGTGACCCTGAGGTGCATACATATCAGTCACATCAAAGTCAAAGTCAAAGTCAGCTTTGTTGTCAAGAATTCTACATGTTGTACATCCAGAAATCTTGAAATATCGTTCCCCGCAGTCCTATATACATCAAACAAAAAACAAAAAGGCCCTAGATAAACATGGTATACATTAAACAAAACAAAGGGCCTAGACAACCGGGGTAAAAATGTTAATAATATATTTAAGTGTTCAAAGTACAGTTTCAGTGCAGTAGCAGCGGAGATGGGCAGAAAAGTGACTGGTGCTGGATGAGGGAGGTTGGTTGTGTGTGTGTGTGTGTGTGTGTGTGTGTGTGTGTGTGTGTGTGTGTGTGTGTGTGTGTGTGTGTGTGTGAGGGGGGGGGGGTTAGAGTCCAGGACCATTTGGGGCAGGGGAGAAAGGTCGGAGGCAGGGTGGAGAGGAAGGGGAGAGATGTCAGGGAGGGGGAGAGAGGAAGGGAGGGAGGGGAGGGGAGAGAGTTCAGCATCCTGACCGCCTGGTGGAGGAAGCTGTTGCCCAGCCTGGAGGTGCGCGAGCTGAGGCTGAGGAACCTTCTTCCTGAAACGGGTCCAGCGATGGGGGGAGGGTGGATTTGATCTGCTTCATGACCAGCCTTTCGAAGCACTTCATGATGGTGGAAGTTAGTGCGACGGGGCGGTAGTCGTTGAAGCCGGATGGAGATGACTTATTTGGCACTGGAATGATGGTGGTTTCCTTGAAGCACGAGGGAACAACAGCCTGGCTCAGGGAGATGTTAAAAATGTCTGTGAGGACATCTGTGAGCTCTTCCGCGCAGTCCTTCAGCACACGACCAGGAATGTTGTCAGGTCCTGCAGCCTTGCGGGGGTTAATCCTCAGCAGTGTGCTCCTCACACTGGCTGGTGAAAGACGCAAAGCCTGGTCGTTGGTGGGGGGGGGGGTGGTTTTCTGCGCAGGTGTGTTGTTCTGTGCTTCAAAACGTGCAAAGAAGCTGTTGAGGTTGTTGAGCAGGGAGGTATTACTGTCACAGGTCTGTGGCGGTAGTTTGTAGTCCGTTAGGGTCCTTATGCCCTGCCACAGGCTCCGTGAGTCCCTGCTATCCTTGAAATGTCCTGTAATTTCTCGGGTGTATTCTTGTTTTGTTTTCCTGATGCCACGGGACAGGTCAGCCCTGGCTGCTTTCAGCCCAGCTGGATCTCCAGCTCTGAAGGCGATGTTGCGGGCCTTCAGCAGCGTGTGGACCTCCCCTGTCAGCCATGGCTTCTGGTTAGCCCGGATGGTGATGGCTCTGTTTTGTGTCACATCGTCAATGCATTTGGTGATGTAGCCCGTGACTGTCTCTGTGTATTCTTGTATGTTGGTGTGATGGTTGTATGTGGCTGCCTGCTTGAACATGTCCCAGTCTGTAGTGTCAAAGCAGTCTCTGAGTGCAGCTGTGCTGTCCTCTGATCACACCCGAACCTGTTTTGAAACCGGTTTGGTGGCTTTTACCCTGGGTCTGTAGCAAGGGCCATTGGCCCCCCCCACTTTTGAGCCCTGCCCTACATTTTCGCAGCGGCGGATGCCGCGGAACACTGTACAAATCCCGTTTCAATAATTCCCCTCTACTCTAAAGTCGCATCTAAAACGCGATCTGATCTAGCTGTGTATATTTTGTTATTTTTTATTGTTATATTCAATCTCATTAGCTACAGGCATTTTTGAAGCTTGTAAAGGGAAGATGACAATTCTCACTCGCCACTCTACTGTTCCACAGCGCCGCTTCCCCTCCCTCTGCTGAAATTATGAATGTAAAGGCCCTGACACACCAGGCAGTCACCAGAGAACTCGCCGACACCGACACCGACAGTTCCATCGACGAGTTCTCCTGCGTCTTGGCCATGTGTCGCACTGGAACACACGTCAAAGTCGCAAAGACTTCAGCCGAGCACGTACGAACTGCGCATGCGTGAGTGGCAATAACTCTCCTTACCAGCAGGCGGCGGTAGTGTGTATTCGTCATTCAAAATAGGCAACAACCGGAAGACAGAGAAGAAGAACAGACTGATATAAACAAACAAATAGCGTGTGCATTTTCACTCTCGTCCATCGAAAACATGTTTTAGAATATAAAAATACATGAATGATGAAATGAGCACATAAAGTGCAGACATACTATAAAATCACAGTTAATAGACCTGCATCTGATGATCGCAGTGTTCTGGCGGGTGTGTAGTTTATTGAGTCAGCAATGTAGTAATATATGTAATGTAATAATGGCCACTTCTTGCTAAATTTACATTTCCATGTGATGCTTTTATCCGAGGCGACTCACAATAGGTAAATGAACAGCAGTAGACAGTATCTCATGTACTTAGACACTGTACTTAAGGACAATGTTGAGGTACTTGAGACTAATCCTGCAACTTTATACTGACAAATAAACCGATGAGATGAAAAACCGGACTTGACCAAACAAATCACGGAGCTCTCAGCAGAGGACAGCCGGGGATGCTCCCGCCGATATCAGAGATGTCCCTGCTATGTGTGGGAGGTAAGAGAGGACATTTAAGGGCTATGTTTGATGTCTTTAAGTATCACCTGCTGGGGTTTAGCTGCTGTCCTGTGCCTTCTTAAATCGTTTGTTTACGTCCCTCACTTCCGTTTCGCTTCTCATTTGCTAGCTGAACAGCTGATCAGAGTGGTTTCTTGGCCCGATAGCTTGTGTCCGTATTTTGGCCGATTCAACATGTTGAATCGGCCATGTGTCGACCGTGAAAAGCCAAATAAGGCGTGTCACGGCCGAGGGTTCGGGACACACCAAATTGACTTTGGGCGACAAGGAACGCGTTGTCGCCAGACAACCGAAGACGGCCGAATACGGCCTGGTGTGTCAGGGCCTTAAGGCGTATAGTAATCATGTTTTTATCTGATTTCAATTAAACAAAGTCATGGCTTTCAGAATATTAAACTTGTTTCGGCAAATTCAGATGATAAATACAACTTTGAAAGCTTGTAACGGCATAATTACAAGCGAAGAACGGAGTAACGTAACGTCACAGCAGGCATAATAACAGCCGGTGTTTCTCGTGAGTGTTTTCCCCGGGAAACAAACACAATACACACACAAATGCAAAAATACACAAACACACACACGTATACACACACACTCGCGGGCTTCCCCCAGACCAGTAATCCAAACGAAAATATCTTCCCTTCGTTACTACTTTGATCATTTGCTCCGCTTCCAGAGAAGAGGAAGGCCTTTTTCTCAAAATGATGACTCGGTGATAGTCATTATATAATGTGACATATTTTGCTTAATATTTGGAGTACAAAAACAATCCTGATATCATTAGAAAGCTAGGAATCTCCTCTTTCCAACAGTGTATACAACTCAAAATGTGTCTTCGGGTCAATGCGACTGATTTCGATGGAGCAGGTTTGCATTAGGTAAAATCAGCGCCATATAGATAGAAGAGTTACGACATCTCCGTTCACTCCAATGGACCAGTTTTTTTACAGCAATGGCGGATCGTGGAGCCCTTAATAGTTCCCCGGAAGTTAGCTTGCCGCTGACATCCGGGGAACTATTGCGGCCAGCAGCACAGTAGAGTTGCAGCATAATAGACCGCATAATAGACCGTTCGTGATGGACTTTTAAAGGTAAGAAGACGTTTAAAGATTTATATTGCGGATATTATCAGCACATCTGAGTCAAATGAACATGTGTATTAAAGGATGTTAGTGGATTATCCCTAAATCAGTAGATTTAGGGAACGTTTACAGATAACATATTAGGCTAGGATACCGGATAAAGTTAGCAACACACGTTAACCATGAACAGCCTATTAATCCGTTCTCCTAATGTTATTTCAATCCAACGTTGTGGAATTAGAGGAAAAGGGCTTCTTAACGTGCATTTATCCGGGGTGGAGGGAGTTAAATATTAGTTAAATATAACATTGGGGCGTGTGATTGTAGTGGGTGGAGGTGGTGAAATGAGGATATCCATTTTGGAGTTCAAGCTAGTATAATATAGGTAACGTTACACAATAATAAGGATGAGAGCTATTTTTGTGATACATCGCTATTGATATGGATTTAGAGTGCATATTTGAGACTTCCAAACAGTAAACAAAAACGTAACTTATGGGTGAGTGTTTTTAGCAGAGCCATATAATGTCCTTGTGATTCTGTTGATTATTACCTGTCTGTATTATGTTGCAGCTCAGCTGATTTTGGATTGATGGCAAAGGGAGAGGGACTTAAGTGAGAGTGAAAACACAAGGTAAGTTTCAAATAGGTCAGCAATTTCCCATCCTATAGGTTGCTATATAGATGTATCTAACCCTTTCTCCTGTCTTTGTCTCCCTCTTTCAGCACAAGAACCCCAGGGGGATTCAATGGAGCCTGAAGACCTGCAATGAGACCCTCACCCTGCACCTGAGTCTCAACTCCCAGAGTTTTGCAAGCCTCTCCCTGTTCCTTATTTTTATTAAACAGACATTAAGCTTCCCAATGGTGTGGTCTTCGTTTTGTGAAAAATATGATTACGTCACATATTTTGTTGCGGCTGTCTGTTTTGATTGTTAAATTGCTCCTGCTGACTTGAGCTAGCAATTTTTTCCTCCTCTCTGTGTCAGTGGGGAAGCCGTCCATTCTGATTCTTACTCCTTTCTCTGAGCGATTGGAGCATCCCCAGGCAGCACAGCAAACCATGGTGGAGACTATATGCCAGGACAACACGGAGGAAAAGGCACAGACAAACTGCATGACATGCTATTCAATGTTTATTGAATTCCATGTATTTACAATGGATGTTCCTAAAATAACACATTTAACGTCATAATCATGCTGCTGCTAGTCCATTGATAGACACCTGTTGGTCTCCTGTCCTTTCTGAAAGTCATAAAGATTACATTAGTCATTTAGATTACTTATGTCCTCAAGTACCATGGGATTACTGAAACCACCATGAATTAAAAAAATGGTAGAAATTAATCTAATCTACATTTTGAAGCATTCCTTGCCATCCCCTCCCTCTAAATATATCAATAAACATTAGGAAGTGATGCTCCTGACTACCATACCTGTTTAAGAAGATAATATTTGTTTTAAATAATTCAAAGCAATACACAACAGCAACAGGCTCTTTAACCAAGGCAACGTTAGCCTAACATGTATATGTTAACAAGTAAACTAGCTGTTCACACTATTCCTAATATTACCCATAAATATTAGCAGATTCTATTTTATTTTTAAAACATATTGATGTAAATACATACACATATCGGTATGTTGTATAAATATTGCAAATCAAAACCTTTATTCACTACTTATTACCAAAAATCGTAGTTCTATCTCCGGTATGTCCCGCCACTAACTTCCGGGGAACTATTGATTCTCCCTGAACCACGTGACGATCAAGCATTTTGGACTTCTGTTGTCATAACTCTCTCTCTATATGGCGCTGGGTAAAATAAAGCAGGCAGACATAACAGGAAGAATATGTACATTTTAACCCAATCAAATAGGACATTGTCACACCATTCAAATGTATCCATGTAAATTACAACCAATAAAAAAGCTTAGATTTGTTTATTTGTTACGTTGTTTAGTTTATTTGTTACGTTGTTATGTGTGTGTCAGCCGTTAACCAGATAGAAAGAATAGATACACTTGCAAACAAGTCAGAAGAACCAGCGCAGAAGAAAACTAAATACAGTCAATCTAAACTTACATTTAACAACTGGAAGGTCACATCCCTGACATCCACTTCTCCGGAGCCTGGACCTTCATCAATCATAGAAGAACCAGCGAAGCCAGATAAACCCAAAAGCAGCAGCTCTGCGGCCGCAGAGACTGTCAAAACCGCCGCCGCCACCCCCACCGCCGTCGTTGACCCGAAACAGGCTGGTTCCGACTGCATGGAGGTTTGTTGTCGGGACATTGAGGCCGGTAAAGCTGTACAGCTAACTGTCGAAAAAAAGGAGACCGCTAGATCGTCTGGGCAAAGAGAAAGGTACTTCAACGCAGAATGGTACAAAAACAGAGAGTGGTTAATTATTTGCAAAACCACTAAACGGGCCTTCTGTGAAATATGCAGATTTGCTGCTGTCAAACGGCTTGTAACTTTCTCAAAATGTGGAGATGATAGCTTTGTTAATACTGGAGTTAATGAATGGAAAAAGTGCCCAAGCCTCCATGAACAGTTGTCTCTGACTGTACGATGGGTATCAGCTAATTATGTTGTCCATGAAGACTTCATAGGAATGTATGACTGTCCTAAGACTGACGCAGAATCAATAACCCACTGATAAACTGCGATGTTAACAACCTCATGATAACCTCATATATTTTAATTTAGGATAGGCTACCTGTGTTTAGTCTAGAAAAAGGTAAATGTGTGCATTTTATTATAAAGTTGTGTATATTTACAGACTATTGCAAAAACTAAGAAGCTTATAAACATCAGGTTTAAAACTAAAAGAGCTTTACAAAAAAGTAACACAATTAAAGATGTTTGGAGTTTTATTTGAGTTATTAATTTACATTTTTTGCCAAAGAGATGCTGATTTGAAACCGTTGTTACATACAGTTACGGCATTTCCTGTTTCTGCCAGAGAGAGGGGAGTTTGTCCCAAAGCTTGCCGCTGTCTCCCTCCATCTGACAGGAGGGAGCCTCATGTGTCACTCCACGGAGTTCACTCCGTCACGGAGGGGGAGTGTGTAGGGCGTGGTTTGCACTTTTTTGGCCCCCCCCACTTCTAAAATGAATCCGGCGCACCTGGTCTGTAGGCCGGTTCCAGCAGAACAGTGAGGTGGTCAGAGAGGCCGATGTGGGGGAGGGGGGATGCCTTGTATGCTCCCTTGATGTTGGTATAGACCAGGTCTAATGTGTTTTTCCCCCTGGTTGGAAAATCAACATGCTGATATATTTTAGGCAGCACAGTTTTTAAGTTTAATCGTGGTTGAAGTCTCCAGCTACGATGAGTAGGCCGTCTGGGTGTGCTGTCTGTTGCTCACTGATGGCTCTGTACAGTTCACCGAGTGCCTCCTCTTTACCCTCGCTACTGGGGTTAGGCGGGAGGTAAACAGCCACCACAAGAATCGCTGTACACTCCCTCGGCAGGTAAAAAGGACAGCATTTTAGAACCATAAATTCCACCAGTGGCGAGCAGTGTTAGCTAACAACAACAGTGTCTCGGCACCAAGCGTCACTGATGTACACACACACACCGCCGCCGCAAGTCTTCTTTCCCCCGTTATCTTTGTTCCTGTCTGCTCGGTAGCTTGTTAGCTCGCGCCGCCATCTAGTAAATGTCACATGTGTGAAATGCTAGGGTTAGGGTTATTGACAGCTGTGTTGTTTGAAATATAAACCCTGCAGACCAATGGCAGAAAAGTTGTGTGGGACTTGCATTCACTCAAAATATGTTCAAGATGACTTTAAGAAGTTTAAAGACTCATAAGAGTCTTAAAGGAAATGGATACCCACATAATTCATGCAGATCTTCATTCACCATCCATTCACTGCATTTTAGTTTCATTGTGTTCAGGCAGCTGTAATGCCGTCTGGTCAAGGATCTTGTTTCTCTTCTTGGTCCAGTAATAACAGAGCATCCAGCCAGTGGTCACTCTGGTGCTCTCAGACAAACCATTGTTGGTTTTCAGACCTCATTATGGTGACGAAGCCGACCACAGATTTGTGGGGAAGCAATTGGACGACCAGCGTCTATAGAAAAAAGGAGTACTGTTCTCTTCATCTGTTAGAAATCTCTTGACCACACCGCTACAGCAGGCAATTTAGAGTCTTTGTTGTGGCATTTTTGTGGTAACAGAACATAAAAAGTAGGGTTAGGGTTTATATTAAACAGGATTCTTAAATAAAGGTAGAAGACAACGGGTTAAGCTTTCAAAAGTACCCTTACAAAAATCGGGAAAGGATTCAATGTCAAGGAGAGAGATAAAATGTGCTTTACTCAGCCTGTGTGTGCTTTTCCAGATAGTTAATGGTCCATTTCCCCACTCACTGATGCACCGTCTTCATCAGAGACAGAAAAAAACCAGGGGTAATTAAAATGTCTTAACTTGTAGCTTAATTACGAGCCAGCCATGGAATCTCTTTGTCAGTACAACTCTTTTTTCCCTCCGTTTGTATAAAACAATAAAACCTCTGTTAAAAAATCTAATTTGCTCTCAGATTCTGCCTTTTTTTGTCTGAGTTGAAAAGTTAAATCAAATCAAAGCCGATTTTTCTTCCGACCACCTTCCCGTCCTCGAGATTCTCCTACACTATAGCCATGGAAATGGGACTTTGGGGATGAAAGGAAACCATAATTTTGTGGTGGGATTAATTTGGAGACATGAGCGATGCCAAATTAAATCCCTGTCAAAACCTCTGCTGATTCTTTTCATCGCCTGCAGATCCCTGAGAAATCTGTTCCCCATGGCGTTTATGATTTGACAGTCCAGTAGTTTTGGACTTAGTTCCCCCCTGATACCTCTGACATGTTGACATTAAGTGGTTTCCGAGACAGGCAGCACCCATATTTCAATCACCATTAAGCAGAGGAAATTTGGCGTTAGTTTGGATGGAAAAAAGAGCCAGTGACAAACAGACATGCACAGATACAACGGCAGGCAAACAACTGTAATTACATTACAGGGTGAGCGGCAGCCATTTCCTGGGAGTGCGGGAAGGTAAATATAGTTTATACCTGACCCTAAGATCTTTCAAAAATTCTGGGACAGATTGTTTACAGGTGTCCTTGACGACTGTCCTTTGTTTCATATCAGCCCTGTCATCTCTCCCACCACTTTTCACTTTGAAAGAAACGTTATATTATCATAAAAATGTAATGTGGCCTGCTCATACTGCGTGCATGGGTACAGTGGCATTTATTTAATTGAGTTAATTGATAATTTTCTAGATTAATTTAAATATATATATTCAACACATTAAGACACAAGCAGGTTGTTGTTGTTGTTTTTATTTTTATGTATGCACCGTGACACCTAGTCAAATTCCTCGTAGGTGTGAACCTACCTGGCAATAAACCCGTTTCTGATTCTGATTTAAACTTTTAATATAAATATTTGTTTCCTTATTTTTCTTTTAAGGAAAAACGTGGTTGTTTGAATGTTTATGTTGAATAGAGGTCACATTAGGGTATACAAAGTCTAGAAAATGAAAAGAACAAAAGTACAATTAAAGTGCAAAGCAAAAAACCTAATGGAATTCATAATACTTTACGATATAACTATTTAAACAATGTTTTTTTTTCTTAAAAGATTTAAGAAAGGGACAGTGTTGAAAGGGGGAGACAGAGGGAATGACACCCACCAAATAGTCCCAGTCCACTTTCAAACCCAGGTCCTCCGTATGGGGACCAAGCGCCAGAACATGGGCTGTCAGCTATACCAACTGAACTATACCGTGACCCACTGCCTGTTTTTTTGTATTCAGTAAAATGTATACATTCTTAAGGAAAAATAATACATATAAATTCAAC